CGCGCGAGTCTCTCCCCACCCCCACCCCCCCACAGACCTGGCACTGAATCAAGTCACAGGAACCAGCCTAGGAAAAGGCTGAGCTGTTTCGCTCTGCAGAGGAGGGGGATGGGTGGCGCATGCTGCTGAAGGCTGAACAAAAAAATATATGAGGCGGCTCATACAGAAGAGAAGCTGGCAGCCAAAAGTGAGGGATGGGAGGGAAAGCAGCGCCAGTGTCGGGGCGTTTCAGCCGCTACTGCCTTTGAAAGAGGTCCCTAACATTCAGGAGCTGCCACCCACCATCTCCCTTGTAGCATTACTGTGCTGTCCAGGGGGAAAAATAGGGGAAGAAAGGGGTCTCCTAAGGGGCTTATGTGCGCAGCACATTTCTCAGTGTCAAGGGACTGCGTGAGGGCTCAGCAGTGCCCTGCCTGTATTGCAATACCATTTGGTCCTGCCTTGGTAGCTAGCAACCATCTGCGTTGGAATCACATTAATGAATCATGTTACAGCCCTTTAAAGACAGGGCTTAGGCACCTCTCCAATATGGCTGGTGTTAAAACACAGCCCCTGAAGTGGGGGAGCTTGTGGTTCACACAGACAGATCAGACCGCTGCGCCCACTCCTGCCTCCCAGGCACCCAGAGTCTGAGCAGAGGCGGCGAGGGGCCTGATCCTTTCTTTCTACAGTGCCTGCCCACCTCTCCCGTGGCAGGGGGGGAGGCGAGCTGGCTCCTGCATCATTGCAGTTTGCAATGTTGCAAACTAAACGACGTGCAAACTCATTTAAAACCCCCCAAACTCTTGCACGTGTACAACGTGATGCCATTAAGCCACACAAAGCGACCTTTTCATCACGTGTCCATGGTAATGGCATCACATGTACAAGCACCCTGAGCTCACAGATGGGGCACACCGGGGGGGGGGTTTCCCCTAGAGCTCCATCAAATTGACATATTTCTAGCCCTTTTTAGTGTGGCTCTACAAGACCCTCCTGGGTCTGGCCTTCCACCTGAGGGGCAAGGGTCTCATTCTGGAGCAGCTGCACGCGAGTACCTCCCCGTTGACTTCACTGGAGGCTGATGGCAAGCAGCAGCTGCAAAACCGAGCCCCTGAGAGATGGAGAGGCAAGAAGCAAGACATGGACCGGGGCAGGCTCGATGGCACAAGATTTAGAAGGAGGTTAGTGCTCCGCCCACCCCTCCGGGAAAGGATCTGTGCAGCGAGGAAAGGGAATACAGGTAGACGGTAGCAGCAGCAGTGCAGGCAATCAGTAGAAGGCTGTATTGAAGCCAGCAGGCTCCCTGGAGGGGTGGGGAGAGGGGCAGAGGGGGTACCTATTAGCATAAGCAGCCCTGGAGGCAGGGGTCTCTCTTGTTCCAGCCTTTGGATGGAGTCCTATAAGATAACGAGCACCCTAAGGCACTTGCCCCCTGGGTGGAGGCCTCCTCTGCTGTTTGGCCCCAGGGACTGTCGCAGAAGGAGACAGCTGTAGCGTTGGCTGAAGTTTCTTTTGTTTCTCAGCAAAGGTGGGGCCTGGGCTCTGAGCACAGAGGAACAGCTGGTCCTCATGTGAGCTTCATGCCAAGAGCACTAAAGCAGAGCATGCTCTTGTGGGGTGTCTTGCTCACATAAGGGGCCCATGGAAAATAAAGCAGGTTTTTACCAAGGGTCTAGCAGCGCAAGGTTAACAACCTAGCGTGGAAAAGGCCCTTTGTGCAGGTGCAAGGACTCTCCACCGACTGCCATATGTCGAAACTAGGAGTGGCTTTGTCCACCCTGGGACTTTAATCCCGTGTGGGGTACACGGTGTAGTCAGATCTCCACCCTTTCCCTATCAAAGACAAGGCTTGGGTGGTGAACAGCAAGAGCACTTCAAGGTCTGAACAGCAAGAGCTCTTCAGATGACTGCACAGACCTAAAGTTATAATTATTGTTTGCCCTGGCGAGGGTGTGTGATCTCTATCGGTAGATGGGGAAGCAGACAAACCACTTACCATGAGGTAGAAGTGGAGCTGACATGGTGTAAAAGCCTTCTCCCCTTTATCTCATGGTACGTAGTCCATCTGACCAGACCCAAGACACATCATTTGCTTTGCATGCAACTCCAGAGGGAACTAATAGCTCACTTGTTCCAGGCTCCTGTAAGACCACTACAACAGACTTCCTTTCTCCTAATCCAGAGCCCGTACAACTCATTAGATGTCTTTCCATTGACTCCAGTGGGCTTTGATCAGGCCCTAAATGTGAGGATTTACTTTAATTTCCTGTCTGCTGAGAATGCTGTTAATCAGAGACCCAACCAATCAAGCAGTGATACTTCAAATCGCACGCACCAATGTCTTCAGTGTTAACTACCAGCTTCTCCGACATCTCACTGGTGGTTTCTACCCAGATTTCGTAGGTCAAGTACAGGCACAGGTTGACACGGCTGAAGTAGCAGGAGTTTGGGCCCTGGGTGATGTAGTCTTTGCACTCTTCAACTTCTGTTGCTCCCCTGAGCCAAAGGGAAAAAAATTAGGTTTCTTTGCAGTAAGGTCTAATTCAGCTGCCCCTCATCTCACACTTCATCTAAAAGAAGGTACAGTATTTCTTTTCAAAACTGCAGCATCCTGACCTGCATGTACCTGAGTCTCTAGGTGGTTCATTTCTCAACCCATTGCACCGCCGCTGGAATATGCTTGTGTGCTGACAGCCATTTCCTTAGGACAACCATCTGGATGGATGGCATGGCAAGGTGTACTTGGTGTGTCCAGCTCCTAACACCCATCCCCGAGACACCTACCTCCTGTATCGGCCTGCCAGAGTAGTTAAAGAGGGTCAGACCAGTGCATGTGATTCATAAACGTACATAAAGTGGGGGCAGCTTCTTTCTGACTACGCCAGCAATAGTCCAAGCACCCACGGCAGCACATTATAAGCTCTAGAAGACCCATCTGTACTGGAGGGCCAAATATGTGAACAGAAAGACACTTAAACCATTATTATCACTCCCATCTAGTTTTTCGGAGATGGTGCAATGCAGCCATTGCGCTGCTTGTCCAGTCCAGCCCACAGTGCGCACAAGACACTCATGGAGGGGGGAAACCCAAATGCAGAGAATGAAACAATCCCAAGCAAGAGTTGCATCCTAGCCTGCTGTAAGCCCTTGCAAAGTTGTGGGCTCTCCCATGAGCCTGTACTGCACTGAGGATTGTGTTTCGTGCCTCAGATAAAATTTCCGTCCACTTTTCCTTACCTCATCTTGTACCTGAGGTGGAAAGTTGCATTGGGCCGAGCACCATCCTGTGGACTCCAGTGGCATGACATGTATTTGGGATAAAGCATGAAACACTGCAGGTTGAAGTGGGAAGACACTCCTGGAGATAACAAGGAGAAGATTGGGGAGGGGAGGCTGCTATTGCATCAGTCATGCTGACTGCCATTCATTTTTGCTACCAGACCTAGGCAACATCATACTGGTAATGCTGTGAAGCCTCTCCTTGTAGAGAAGTTAGCATTCAAAAAGCTATAATATTCCTACTGCACTTTTATGCCACATATTCCAGGAGGCAACACTGCCTTCTTCACAGCCTAAACCAGAAATGTGTTTGGAAGAGCATCTCTACCTAGCCTACATCACAGCCAGGCTGTTTTCACCTCCATCCTCTAGTTAAGCTCTAACAGAGTGCTGCTGCTATGACTCTATTTCAGGGTCTTTTAATGTAGCTGTTAAATTTACTCCAGGCTAAAACCTTGGCAAGTGAAATCTCAACCTGGGGTTCGTTTTGTTCTAAATCTGGAAGCAAACATCTGTCTACCTATTTTAGTGCAGAAGAGTGCAGAAGCCGAGATCCCCAATGTAGGATTCCAGATGCGATTCTGCTTTGATTAAAATGAACCTTTTTTTTTCCCCCGGCCTAGAATATGTCAGATGGGAAAGTAGCTTTTTGATATCCGGGACAGGAGGAAATGCAGGAAGGCCGCAGAGTTGGTTTGTTTAGCATCGTGGCTTTCAGCACGTGCATGCTGTGAGTGATTCTTCCCCGCTCCCCCAGATGATTGTTAACACCTGGCTCAGGCCACAAGGTCCCCGTGCATGTGCTTCTCTCTTCCCTATATTTGTGTAGCTACAACCCCCTGCCCACAGCACTGAGTCTCAGATAACAAAAGCAGATGCTGCCACATTGCCCCATCTGCAGCTCCCTGCCACTGGCCAGGAGGTCTTCCACCTCCCCTGCTCCACGCGAAGGCCCATTCCCTCCCTCCCCAGCTGGCCAAACAGAGGCAGAGAGACATCCCTATGCGCCTGCAAATCGTTGCTTACAGGGCAGCAGGCTGGCATGCCCCGTGCAAGGGGAGAGCAAGGCAGGTGATGCATGGGGCATCCTGGGCGGCAGCCAGCCCCCTGTGCACTTGCTCCTGTGTATAGGATACAGAAGGGGCAAGCTGTGGTCAGAGACAGGGGTTCAAGAGTGACTCTCATCACACTAATGAGATACTTAACTGCATGTTTTCCTAAGGGGCCTGGCTCCTGCTGTTAAGCCAGAATAACAGGGCAGCTGCACAGTGCTCTTAATCACTGAGGATCAGGTTCCCATGTGCTGCTTATCGCTGCCTTATAGGCACAACACCCCCAGCTGCCGTGTGCCGGGATCCAGGCCCCTGTCACCGCAACGCGCGTTATCTCTCTGATCAGCATCTGACTAAATGCTGCCGCCTCCTCCAGGAGAGAGGCTGTCTTTGTGCTCAGCTCTGTACAAACACAGACCAACATGGGGCCCTGGTCAGGACTGGGCATAGTATCACAGCCACCCCTGGGGGTCCTCCCATTAAGCCCAGTAAAGGAAAGGGCTCTCCCTTCCCTCTGATCACACTGCCCTCGCTCCCCAGCAGCCCAGATCATTTTTCACAGGGCACTGCGGTGAATCCCTACAACTTCTCAGCGCTTGGTACCGAGGCAGTGGCTTTTACCTTTCGGTTCCAGGTACCGGCTGGAGATCCTCACAATCGTAGCACAGATGAGGAAGTAGTAGTTAAGCAGCCCTGCCATCTGGGGAGACATAATGGATACAACATACGGACAATTAAAAACGCAGCGACAGCATCTACCGAGAGCTCTGTTTCTAGCTTTATTTAAAAACTCCAGCACTTCAGCTCCCTAACAATGCAGCCCATGGCATCGAAACAGTGCCTCCGTTCCCCCCACACCCTCAGTAGTTTGGTACATGATGCAAAGAAAAAAGTGTGTCTCTCTACCCAAACACAAGCAATCACTGGGGTTTTGTGGTGGGTAGATGCTTCCCCCAAGTGACTGTCTGTGCTTAGGCAAAGCAGTGTGATGATTAATAACTACCTTCTTTCTTACCATTATAAGATGAACTGGTTTTTAGCAACTGGCCCGTTCAGTGATGCCCTGCGGGATACAGGACTCCTGGATTCTGCCTCCAGCTCTTAGTGTGGCTTTGGCAGGAGCTTAGTCATTGCTCTGCATTTTGGAGTAGGTTTCTGTAAAATGGGTGTACCGCTTGCTGCAGCACGCTGAGACTTTGAGCAGCAGGGCTGAAAGGTGCCTCTGGAGGTTACTTAATTAAGGATTGCCTCTACAGGGCTTTGTGCTTCCCAGAGAACAGGCGATCCATCACTGCACTGGACAGCACGGCCTGAGTTATATTTACTAAGCAGAAAATTGAAGCCTTCCAACAGCCTGGCATCGTAAAAGGGGCGTGCAGTTCACAGTGGGAAAGAGATAGCTGTTCCATGGTGGATGGTTAAGCAGATGAAATACCATGGGTTGTTTTTTCCCCTTCTCCTTGATGGCTAGATATGTTCTCTGTGAGCAGCATATCCTGGGGTTAATGCGTACGCTGACCCATTTGCTGCTGCGATGGGATCGTTGGACCAGGCTTCTCACCAGAGCCAAAGTCTGCCAGAAACGATCGCAAATTGACCGTATCTGTCCCACCAGCTCTGTCGGTGTTTCACTGGAGCCGTGCTAGTGCAGCCTTGTCAGAGGAGCCAGCAGAGCTCCTTCCCCAGAGCAGCATGGAAAGGGGTTTTTATCCTGAGTGCCATGCTGCCCTTGCACTCTTGGCAGCCCATGTGCTCTGCAGAGACCCTGGCACTGCATGATAGCCCCTCACTCTCTGAGGCCTCTTCCCAGTCTGTCCAGTCCAGTTGCCATGAGGGTCTAGACCAGGGTTTGGCCTCGTGAGAATACACCAACTGGCCAGAGAGGAAAAGGTTGCGGGTTGCGCCCACGTGGGTGCTAATGCAGCACGCCGGGAAGAGATGCCTGCACATTCCCAGGGCGTTAGCGGGAGGGAGAGGATTGCACCATGTATAATAATTTATAATTGGCAAAAATTATCCCATAATCTAGTCTAATTGACAGGGATCACAGGCACTTGCTAGTGGTCTGCCAGCACAGGAATTAAAGCTTCTAATTGCAGCTGATTGTGGCACTGAGTCCCTCCCTCCATGTCCCTGGGCAAGTCCCTTTACCTTTCTGCCTAAGTTTCCTCTCCTGAACAGCTTTTCAGATGAATATAAGCAGGCCTTGCAGACAGCTGTGTTTTCCTGTCTCGGCTCAGCCACTGGCGACACACAAGAGCTGCATGGTACAGAATTAGGGTGAAGGATGAAGTAAGGAATAATCATAGTGGGAGGATGGGAATCAAAGGGGGCTCAGTGGGCCGCACTTCAGGCTCCACAGCAGTCTGTGAGCTGGGATGGAGATGGAGGGCTTCCTGCAGATCTCCCACTGCCATGACAGAGAGATTAGCAATGCAGTCAGGGGAAAGAGAGGCACGTATTGCCAGCCAGAAGCACCTCAGTACCTTACAAAATGTAGCCCTGTGCTCTTGTTTCTCATCTGTTAAGCTGTTAGCACTGCTCTGGAAAAAATCTACCTCCCCGCACACAGGGTTGCAAGTATGCCTGCTTGATGGATGCCTCCTCCAGCCACTCTTTTTCTTCTTTCCCCGCTTCGCCTTTCTCTTCCTTCCATCCTTTTCCAGTTCCTTCATGGCAATGACTCCTCACTCCTACCCACCATTTCACACTTCTGCCCCCACAGCGATTGTTGCTAATATAACCAGTCACAAAGTAGTTAATATTGACATTCAAGCACCGTGTCGGCACTAATGAGCCCATGAAATAAAGAGGTGAGACAGGGATTCTGTAGATCCATTGTTCCAGGCTGCCTGCAGACTCAGGCGGATACAACTGCCTCCATTACACCCAGCTTCTTTATAGTGGTTAGGTCAGCTTCTAATCAGTCTTTTTAAACAAGTTTCTGCAGACTCTAATAAGGGCCACAAAAGCATCAGGTGGGGCAGGTATCACCCCTGGTCCAGATCCTAACTGCAGGTACAACCCTGCGTTTCATTCAGATGAACAGGGCTCCATGACAGCTTTACTACTGCTTTGGCACAATGTATTGTGGGCCTGATCCTGTAACTGCCCCCTCCCAGAACTCCCAGAGAAGCGTGGGAATTCTGCACATGAAAGGCTTGCAGGCCTGCGCCTTTTGCAGAGGAGCCTTTGGAGAAAAGCGAGAGTTACTGTGCACTGCCCTGTTGCAAAGAGCCTGAACTGTGGCTTATTGCCCTCCTTTCTGCCCAACCTGAGTAATCTGCAGAGGGATGAAGTGCTGGCTGGGCATCGCTGCCCTGGGGAAATGACTTGTAAATACCTGCCATTTGGTGCCACCTGGTGCATCCCAGAGACAAACTATTTCCTTTCCAGAAGCTAGGGATAAAAAGTCAAGCATGGCAGGGAGGCTCTAGCACGCACCAGGAGAGGAGGATGAACCCACACCTCTTCTCTTTGCTGCGCAGTTCATATCCCACCCCTACCCCAGCACCAAAGTGCCCCGAGCACCCCCAGTGCAAGCAATGCCAGCAAATAGGAAAGACTCACATCAGCAGGTTCCCTTTCTTTTTCTGCCGGGTGCAGGGAAAGTTCGTATCTGTCTATGCAAGTCAGCACTGATTTATATACCCATCGCATTAGCTAAAAGTATGAGGGGGCTGGGTTTTATAAGAGGAAAAAAAAAAAGAACAACCTCTTTTCTGGATTATTTCTGGTGCTTAATTTTATTCCAAGTTTCTTTTTCAAAAAAGGGAACCGAGCAATTTTGAAGGAAACCAGCTAGCCAAAGGCAATCCTGAAAAGAATCACCCAGGAGATTCTCTTGGTTCTTTTAGTCTAACAGGACTTCCCCTGCCAGAGGGACAAAGGTCTGTGGAGAGTCCCTGGCTTTATGAAGCGTCTAGCTGGTATGCATTGACCACACTTCCACATAGCAGTGATAAAACAAAAATGAAAGGAGAAAATGGCCTGTAATTTATGAGAATTACAGGGAGAAGCTAGTGCCTTGCTTTGCTCCAATTGTTCTGTTCTCAGGATTTCCTGCCGGGAGGAGGGGTGGTCTTAGCCAGCTTTGCTGCAGGAAAACCAAAGAGAGATGATTGTGCCTGGCCTCTATGCCAGTGGCATCCCATTCATTTGAGGGAGCGGGCCAAATTCCACTTATACTCACCTGAAGCTTCAGGCCTTGCACCCCAAAGCAGAGCTGCCAGCTGTGAGACAGAGGTAGTCAGCTCAAAGGGAGGAGATTTCATAGTTTCATAGTTGGTAGGGTTGGAAGGGACCTGCGGAGATCATCAAGTCTGACCCCCTGCCATGGGCTGGAAAGGATGCTGGGTCAAACAACCCTGGCTAGGTGATTATCTAGCCTCCTTTTGAAGACCCCCAGGGTAGGAGCGAGCACCACTTCCCTTGGAAGTTTGTTCCAGATCCTAGCCGCCCTGACCGTGAAGTAGTGCCTCCTGATGTCCAGCCTGAATCTACTCTCAGTCAACACGTGGCTGTTATTCCTAGTTACTCCTGGTAGTGCTCGTGGCAACAGGGACTTTCCCATTCCCCGCTGGTCCCCCCGGCAAGTTTATAGATGGCCACCATAGATTTGATTTTTACATTGTACCTAAACCTTTGAGGTTAGATCCAAAGCAGTACGTACAACTTAGTGAGGCGCCTTGCAACAGCCTGCCTGCCCCAGGAGGGCAATCCAAATCAACAGGGTTAGGCATCCAGGGTGCCTTAGATTGGTTGTGGGGAGCTAAATACCTCCAGAAGGTGCTGAGCAGGGAACTTTGGTGCTGAAAAGAGGCACCTACAGTTAGCCAATAGGAAATGTCAGGCACCTGACTGAAGGTCTCACATTAGGTGCCTCCATCATCGAAGGGAAAGTGCCAGACACCTTGAATTCAATGCCAAGTGCAGCCCCATGGCTGCATTAATACAGGAAGATGAGGACAGTGGCCATCTCTTGCGCTGTAATCTACTGGCTAGAGCACTTGCTTAGGCAGTGGGAGATGTGGATTCAATGCCCTCAGCCCATCTCTCACTTCCCAAGTGAGTGCCATAACCAGTAGGGGACAGAAGCATCTGGGTCAGGGGTGGGCAATTATTTTGGGCGGAGGGCCGCTTACTGAGTTTTGGCAAGACATCAAGGGCTGCATGACAGGCAGTCCAGGGCAGATAGATATTGATTTTCTAAATTTTTTAGGGGCCCCGTGGGCTGAATAGAATGGCCTGGTGAGCGACGTCTGGCCCACAGGCCACATTTTGTCCACCCCTGACCTGGTCAGAGGTACCCTGCAACCACCTTCTTGAAGCTGAGCCAGAGTCACCCTGATACAAGATTCACAGGGCCAGGAGAACAAGTGAGAGGAGTGAATCTATTGCCACTTTGCCTAAAAGGTACTGGATGGCCAAATTCAGCTTGTACTTAAAACTCTGAAGACCCATCACCTTCAGGGGGTTGCCTGTGTGATCATTTACTAACAAACAAGAACAGACTCTGACTCACTCACCCAGGACTGGGTTGGTTCCAGAGGGCTGAAACCAAACTCAGCCTATCTGAACATGCAGGGAGCTAGTCTGCAGAGCTAGAGGATGCCATTTGTCCATTCACTGACTTGCTCTTTACAGTGCCTAAAATAAGGGTGCCGACACACAACATGTTGACAATTTGTATCAGGATAAAAGTGGAAAAGATGCACAACCTACAGAGTGTGTCTGTCAGTGTGAGTCGCTCCAATCTGGGGTAAAATTAGTCCTTGGAAAGTTGGGAGCAATGACTGAGCTGTCTGCTCAGTGGAAACAAGCTATTACTGACTTTCCTGCCACTTAGTGGCCAGGTGCTGTAATAGCCACCTGATGTAGGCAACTATCTTGAAAGAGCTGCTTGTCTGAGGCTGCTCTGAACTCAGGTGTAAGTTAGACCAGTGCACATGTTGTGGTTGTTCATTTAAGGAGATAGTTTTGCCTTAATTTGTGGTTTCACTGCCTCAGAGAAAACAGTATTCATGATACTGAGTTATTCTCTACTGGATCTTATTGCATTTTACTCAGTTCAGTGCTAAGTGGCCAGTTTTTTGGAAACTCAGACTCTAAGTTGACCACCAGCGCCAGACTGAGCGTGTGCAAGCTTTGTGGGAAAGCACTGGGGTCTAGCATTTGTTGCAGTTGGAAGTTCCTCATTTTCTTATTGTCCAGTTTCACACCCATGTATAACACAGAGAGGGACTTAACCTACAGCTGAAATAGAGCTGGAAGCAGCTGCACTTTGGAGCATGAAAAAATGGAAGCTACTGAGTCCGAACCACCTTCAAAATAGCCCAGAATATTGTTGGCAAGCTACAGGGACAGTACTTGTGGCTTTGAGATAACCTGGGAGCCATCTCTACTTAAAAGTGTCACTAATTGGTTGATGCCTGTTACTCACCTGATCATCACCTGTCAATCGCACGTGTCCAATTTTGTGTTCTGGAATAAGCCCTTTGCATCTGATTGCATTGTAAGTAGCAAGCTTCCACTTTCTAACATACCCTGTCCTTACTTTTGTGCATGTGAAATGTCACCCCGAATTCATGAACTAAAAGAACTGACCTTTTAAAGATGTCTTTGTTAAGAATGCAGTGCAAAGGGAAGTCTGTGGCTGCAGGAGCTTCAGAGTAAATGACTGAGAAGTCATTTAAAAAAGAAAGGTTGAGTAGCTGGAACAGAACCTATAAACTTCTCTTGGCATCGATGGATTTTGATCTTTCAGAAATATTTGAGTACTGCTTCAGCTTCTACTATCCAGGGAAGAAAACAGAGATGGGAAGATATTTGGAGCTTGAACTAGATGACCTTATGAGGTCCCTTCCAGCCCTACTTCTCTATGATTTGTCTGAACAAGTCAAGAAGAAATTTATGTCATCATCTACAATTGGATCATAAGGTCATAGGAAAGTAGGGCTGAAAGGGATCTCATCTAGTCCAGCCCCCTGCTCAAGGCAGGATCATCCCTGAATAAACCATCCCAGCTAAGTGTCCATCTAACCTGCTTTTGAAAGTTTCCAAGCATGGAGTATTCCCAGAGTCTAGGTAGCCTGTTCCAATGCTTGCCCATGCTCATAGTCAGAAAGTTCCCTTTAATCTCCATCTTAAATTTCCCTTGCCACAGCTTGAGGCTGTTGCTCCTAGTCCTGTCCCCTACAGCCACAGAGAAAAGCCCATCTTCATCCTCTCTATAAGTGCTCTTCAGGTATTTGAAGACTGTTATCAAATCGCCCCCTGCCACCAGCCTTCTCCTCTCCACCAGTCTTCTCTCCAGACTAAAGGACCCTAGTTCTTTCAGCCTTTCCTCATAAGTTTTTCCTCCCAGGCCCCTAATCATTGTTGTTGCTCTGCGCTGGGCTTTATATAAACTGTCCACATCTTTCCTGTAGTGTGGGGCCCAAAACTGGACCCACTGCTCTAGGTATGGCCTCACCAGTGCTGAATAGATTGGAAGAATCATTTCCCTTGGTTTGTGAGTGACACTCCTGTTAATACAATCCAGAAGGCTGTTGGCATTTTTTTGCAACAAAAGCACACTGTTGGCTCATATTCAGCTTGTCTGCCATAACCCCCAGGCCCTTCTCTGCAGTACTGCAGCCGAACCAGTCATTCCCTTGTCTGTGCATATGGCTGTCCTGTCCTAAGTGCAGGGTTTTGCACTTGTCCTTGTCAACTCTCATCTGGCTGACTGAGGACCATTTCTCCAGTCTATCCAGGTCATTCTAGATCCTAGCCCTGCCCTCCAGAGTGCCTGCCACTGCACCAAACTTGGTGTCATATACATATTTGCTAACTGTGCACTCGATCCCATCATCCAAGTCATTAATAGAGATTCAGGGAATAGAATTATAGGTTTGGGAGGGACCTCAAGGGTCTGTTAGTCCAAACCCATGCACAAATACAGGAACACTCTTGTGTTTCCAAGGCATCTGTCCAGGATGCCTGTCCAACCTCTTGTTGAAAACCTCCATTGAAGGAGATCCCACAACCTCCTGAGGCAGCACATTCCATTTTCCTACTGTTCTTGTAGTAAGGAAGTTTTTTCTGATATTTGTTCTGAACCGGTTTTTCCTGCAGTCTAAACCCACTGCTACATGTCCTGCCTTCCATGGCAAAGGAAAACAGCCTCTTTGTGGCAGCCCTTCAAATATTTAAAAATAGCTGTCATGCCTCCCTTAATCTCCTTTGCTCCAAATCAAATATCCATAATTTGTTCAACCTTTCCTCATGCAGCTTGCTGCCAGCCTCTGTCGTCTTCATTGCTTTTTTCTGGACCCTGTCCATCCTTCTTAAAATGCAGGGTCCAAAACCAGCATCTACAATCGCTCAGGCCTAACCACCACCAATGAGTACCTCCCATGTCTTACTACATTATTCTTTAATTGCCGCCCAGGACAGCGTTTGCTTTCCTTGTGGCAAAATTAATACTCAGCCTCCAGTTGCTTTGCTGTGAAAACTGTGTTGAATTAGTGGCACTTTAAAGACAATTGTACTGCACGCCACTGACTGAAAGCAGTACTTCTTGAAGCAGCCTGACCTTGTGGTGGCATGTTGGACTCTACCCCCATCCCATTTCCACAGCCAATGATAGCAACGTTCACTTATCCCTACATTTGGCCAGCTTTTACTGCTGCAGTATAGGCTTGCTTAGATGTTTTGTGACCAACCCCCTCCCCACATAAATCTAGCACAAGCAGTGCTCTTATCTACCTGCAGAGATATGCAAAGGGATACGTATCAAGAACAATGCAACTCATACCTTCACCAATTAATAACTGGAGGCACTTCCTGGGTTTGTTTTTTCTAAGAAAACCCACAGTTTATTGTTGAAGAGTTGATTCATATAATTGCTCTGATTTCTTTGTTCCTTTTGAGGAAAACAGCTTTTATATAAAGAATATTTACTTTCCTACTTAATTATATTTAGAGAATGTATTACAAATTTTCCTGTCAGTTCATGAAAGACAAGGCTTCTTGTGTAAATCAGGAATGAGATATTAATGGCAATGATGAGCTACTCATTAGAATACACAGCAGAAGGGCATTTTGTCTAGCAAACGCAGCACAATGCAAGCTGGTTCACCTGAAAGCCACAATCCTTAGATACATGAGGTTTGGGGATCCAGTGCATTGCTGGCCAGCCAGCTCTAGGGATGGTGTTTCAAGTTCTCCACCCTGTAGAACGGAGTGAAAACAAGCCACTTTGCATTGCTAAGCTGTCAGCCTTGGTAGTACCTGCATATTTAGAGGTCTCAGTACTAACAAATGAAGCTGGTCAGTGCTTTCTGCAGGTACGGGACAGAACAGCTCCTTCTCAGAAGCTCCACTAATTATACTGTGGCTCTTGACTGGAGAGAGGCGAGTCAGATTTGGATGTGAAATAAACAGTGGCCTAAGTGACATGTAGGTGAGACACCTCGAGCTGTGCAGCTGAAGGGGTAGGCACACAGCAGGAGAAGTAATTGCAGGAAGGAAATAAGTCTGCTCTTCCCGCTGCAACCTCACCCATTTTTGGACCCTCAGATTTACACCAACCCAGAGGCATAACTTACAGCATCACCTCCACCCCCACTGGATTTGCCCCACATGGCTTCTGGTACATTGTATGTATACAGTGGGATAGAAGGACTAACTTTACCAGCATCATCGCATGCCTCAAAACTGAAAGGATTCCTAAATCCAGCCTGTGACGCAGGCAGGTGAATTGCGCATTCTGCACTGGGCCTCCTCAGCACTTCTTATGGCTTTCTACAAAGGTGCCGACTAGGAGCGTGCCAGTTCTGACTTGTGCCCTGATGTCAGGTTTGTGCTTTAACGTGAAGACGAGGGCTCGCACTGTCCTGCGATATGGTGTGCTAATGAGACGGGATGAGAGATGAAACACTTCTCGCTCAATATTTTCAGCCAGCGGGTGATCAATCTGAAAACAGCAAAGTATAAAATTAGATCCTTGCGTTTAATAAGGAGACCAATGGATTGAAATTGGAGTTTGGTGCTTTTCAAAGTTTCTTCATTAATCAGCTGAAGTTCAAGGAAATCTACTTCCCATCACAAGTGAAACAGGAAGGGGAATTTAATTCCACCCTCGCAATTAAGGAACCATGCAATGCGGTTAGTAACAGAGAGCTCGTTCTCATGTCCAGCTGGGTGGCAGTACTTTGCCATCACAAAAGACACCTAAATCTGCAACCAGCTTTGCAGTTAAAGTACACTGCGCTGTCCCCATAAAGCTCACATTTGACCTGTCTGATATAAGGCACCTTGGACGCTATTTCGGACTGCAATTTAACAGCAATTCTAAGATGTTCCAAACACTTGGCATCTCTGCCTGGTGCTATAAAGGGAAATGCAGGCTCTTTGTGTGGAAGGAGGTGTAATTAAGGATGCAGAAAGGGATTTGCTAAATGCTAATTATATAGTTATTACTTCAACACACGCCAAAACCTGTAATTTGGCACAGCCTGGAAATCTGGAAAAAGAAATGAAGGAATGAATGAAATGACCGCTGCCCACCACCAAAGGGATTTCATTTTACTTTTGCCATTAGTCATAGAGAAGCTCCATGTTTCACAGGGGAGACTCCAGATGTTTGGAGCACTGTTCACCCCAGCTGCTGGTCTCATCCCTTTTATTCTTACTGCTCCTCAGCCCCCCCTCGGTCACACCTGTCCTTGTTCCTCCTCTTCTCACCTTCCTTTGGTCCACTGAGACCTGGACCGTCCCCCATGCCTAGGTCCCTCTCACCATGGTCCTTGCACATAACTCTCTCATTCCCTTTGCTGCCTTTCAGTTACTGGTATCCCTACTTTTCTCTTGCCTGCCTATCTACTCCATTCACCCTGCAGATGGCAAAACTGCAGTAGGAAGAGTCATGCTGAGGGGAACAGCATTTTCTCCTACTGTTCTTTGCAGGTAAATCCTGTTGCAATTTTAACCTCTGCCCATCACTAGCCAGTTTTGGGGTGACATTCATTGCCTTCACATGTCATGGCAGAGGGGAGATTTCAACCACTGACTACTCTCTATTCAGATTCTATCACCAGGTTCCTCTGGCCAGAACACAGAGACCTGGTTTGAACCAGCAACCTGCAAAGAAAAAGCTGAGTACTGCATGATCAGTCCTTTGCAGCACCCAGTCACTGTGGAACATTCCCATGATGAGTGACCCACTGTTGTTATTTGAGAACAGGGAAGAGCTTCTTTCTAACGCACCAGGAACTCCATAGCCACCCTGAGAGGACAGGTTACTCTCAAGACTTAACAGACACTTTATTTATTTTTAACTTTACTTATGTTTTTTTAACTTTGCTGTGTAACTGAGTGCTTACTGCTTGCCAGCTATTGAAAGAATAATTAATAAATAAATCAAAAGAATAATAATTATAGAGTTTAATATAATAGTCCTGTTGATCATTAAGCCTCACTGCCAGTCCTGTTTTTTGCTTAATGATACCTCGGGGATCTGGTATTTACCACCTCTTTATATATTATTGAGGTTTTTTCTATGTTTTTGCAATAAATTTTAATTTGCAAGCACTTAATTACAGCACTATCAAACAACCCAAACATCTCAGTATAGCTTTCAGAGCTATGAAATGGGAGAGGGAACCTACACATCCTCCTAATTTCCTCTTTCCTCTATATAATCTAAATGTAATGGAACTGTCCCATGTGCTAACTGTGTGAACAACACTACAGGTTTCATTTTCAATTACATGATTTACCAGGGGAAAAAAATTCTCCTTTTGAAACAAAGCTGCTTACAGAGCTCACTCCATCTCTCTAGCAGTGCTAACTCATCTTGGCTAGGAGAGCCAGCAGAAACATTACCTCTAGTTCCAGAGCTTCGCACAGCAGCTTCCGGGCATTCTTTCTGAGAGTCTCTGTCTTGGCATCGCTCCTGACTTCTATTGACGGCCTGTTTGCATGGTCTTTGATGAACGTTCGCCATTCAGTGAAAACTTCTTTTGCGAGCCTGGCTACGTCACAGTCTGAATGCTTGCGCATCTTATTCACAGTGTGACCTGGGAAAAAGCAACAGGGTTGGTTCAGTTACAGACAGTGGGTAAGTGAGATACAGACCAGGCAGCCCAAGTAGCTAGTGCATGTCGGTATCAAAACAGCAACAGCGAGCTATAAAACATTACTTCTAGTATTGTGAAGTACTAGAAAAAGGCGCATTTGCCTATTTTAATGTACATTAGCTAAAGAGTATGGTTTTCTGCGTAGATGTGCCCTAGGGCACTTAGTTATCCATATGGAAAATGTGGGTAATGCTTCCCCAGGTCACTGAGGTATAGTGAAGCAACTGGAAAATACATAGCTATACAGGTGCCCAGAGGTTGGTCAGTCTAAGCATAAAGCCTTCAGCATTGGCCTATACAAAATAGAAACAGTTTCTAAAAACCTTTTTAAGGAAATGGATACATCACATGATGCTTATGGTATTTTCTTTTTTTTAAACCAGTAAGTGTGAAAATGATGATTCCTATCCTAATGTTTTCCAGTCAGGATCGGGGACTCATGCCCACACCCAGAGTATTAGCCAAGGACTGTGGCACACACCTTCTGGGAGGGATATAACACTGAGCAGAAGGGGTGTCAAACATAAGGCCCATAGGCCAGGTCCTTTCCACAGAGCCGTTCTATCCAGGCTAGCAGTGGGCTGTTGGGAGTTGAGGGTGTAGACAGGGAAGGAGTAGCCTGCCTCAGAGTCCAGGGCCCTTGGGCCCTGGTGGACATAGCAATTGGCAGTAGGAGAGCAAGCAAAGGCCAATACAACCCTGGTCACCCTCCAGCTGCTTCTCCTGTCACCACTGCTGCAGCCTTATCTCCTCAGCTACCAGCCCTGTGCTGGAGCTGCCACATGCCCCATACCAAAGCTAGAGCTGCAGCTGCAGCATGGGACATGCAGCAGCAGCTCCAGCTTTGGCACGGGCATGCAATGAGACCCAGAGCAGTGCCACATGCCCCATGCCTGACCTGAAGTTGCCACTGCTGTAACATGCCCCAGGTTGGATCTGACCTGCAAGGAGCTCCATGGTCTGGATTCAGCCTGGGCACAAGGTGGGTCTGACACCCCTGCCCTACTGGATATTAACTGATACCACCATTGGCCAGAAGATGGCACCATTAGTCCTTGGCCTTAGTACAACAAAATCCTGTTCTCATCTATCATTAGGACAGACCTGGTAGACAGGTGAAATGGGCTAAAATCAGCAAATTACGTTACAGAATTTAGAAGCAGGGTAGATCACCCCTCCTGCTCCAGGTACAGGATGCTACTGCATGAGAAGGGGCTCAGCCATCTCCCTGGCACTACCCTTCTGCCCCGCCAGTATGTCAGGAGGTGCTCTCTGCACTGGAGATGTCTCAGGATGAGGACAGAGTACTAGGGTAGCTGCTACAAATGAGCAAAGCTATGGCAGCTGTTCCCAAACTATGACAGATTGCACACCACCAATTTAAAATGGCACCACCAGCAAGTTTTTGTCAGATAAAGTAATTATAATAAATCTGTTAACGCGTACCACTGACAGGTTGTCTGAGTACCCCTGGTAGTATGCATACCACAGATTGGGAACTGCTGCTCTATGTTCATGGCCCAGGCCTCCAGCAAATCCCAAGGACTCTTTTGGGTTTGCACATGGATCCCATATCTCAGTCTGCAAGAGAGCAACCTCCTACGCCTGCAGTCAAGAAAGTAGAAGAAATACCCACTGAGGTATGTACCACCTTACCCCTCCTCCCACAGGTTTTATCATGGAAGAGAGTGATGCACAATTGATTATAAGTAGGTACCATCCAGATAATTGTGAATAATTAACTGCGAGTTGCTGCCACTCGGTAGCAGCTCTGCAGGCTAAGTCCTGCAGACTGTGTGGCTACTACTAATAGGATTTTAATCAATGAAAAGCCAAAGGTTTAGGACCGTTATTAAAAAATATTCTCTCTGCCCCACCCCTTTTTTTCAGAGGTGTATCAACATTTCTGAACTACTCTCATCTGTATAGAAAATACAACAGCCAAAGGACTCAAGTCAAGCTAATGTTCATCCTCTAAATTAAACAACACGTACCTATTTTTGTTGAAAGCAATACTTTCTTGGAAGGTAATTTCTTCTTTAATTCCTCCAAGACTTCAATCAGATTCTCCTTAGATTGACTGGGAAGCTCCAGCATAGATTTCCATCTTTTTATGTCTTCTATCACCACAACTCTCTGGGAAAAAGAAAAGTAATTAGGAACGTGGAATATTCTTATGGCAAATAAAGACATTGGCCTTCATCTCAGCTAATGGGGCTGTTATCGACACATGAATTATTGATCATGACATGAACCAGAGCACAGAAGATGTGATGGTCCAAAATGACGGGTAATTGCTTGAGAGCAGGTCCCTGTTGTAAATCAGGACAGAAGAATCTAGAAGGCAAAGTGCGATTCTTCATCTTATTCTGCCAAACTTGGGGCACTTAATAACCAGCGTCTCCAAGGAAAATAAAGAGTTATGCAAGTGTTCTGACAGGGGGAAGCCCATCGGACAAATGTCTCTGAAGACAGAGAGGATGAAGGGAGCAAGCTGGGCAAAGCAGCTAATTACAGGCCGCCCTCAACTTAAGGCGTTTCAACTTGCAACGAATGGCGCTTGTGACATTTATAAACAGACACCCTGTTCTGACTTTCTGACATCGGTTTCGACTTGACGACGCTGGATCCGACACCACGCCAGCAAACAAGTTCGCTGCAGCGCCCGTCTCTGAAGAGCGTCCGTCCAAACTTCCTGGGATGCTTTCTTTAAGAAAGCGGACGAGACTCCAGAGAAACCTGCAGCCAGGACTCCTGCAAAGATGCCAGCCAAGAGCCCTTCAAAACACCCAGCAAAGTCGCCTCGAAGAAGCCCTTCCAAATCAACAGGATTGCTATTGACAATATAAATACATAGATTCATAGACAGTTACAGGGTGGGAGGGACCTTGCAGATCATCGGGTCAAGCCCCCCAGAATACATTCCTGTCGCTATATATGATATTATCGAGTACAAAATTCTGGGTTATTTTTGGTGAAAACTGGGTACCAGGCCTCGGTTCAGGAACCATTTCCACACTTAGAACATCCTTTCCCACAGGGAAATCGGTCCTGAGTGATGATGTTTCGACTTTGGGCGCAGTCGTTGGGAACCGACGGAGTCGAAAGTCAGAGGGCAGCCTGCATGTCCTCGTTATTAGCGGGGCAGCTGCAAGCAGAGCCCAAACGTCGCTCGCCTCGGTTTTAAAGACCAGGAAGGGCGGCGGGTTGCCCTCGCTCGTGGGCAACGGCGTGTCGCCGCTATTCGCGCGCTAGGGACCCGCTCAGCCGTGCGGGAAACTGGGGGACGCTGCGAGACCCCGGCTGTGCCGGCCCCCAGACCCGTTTCTGCCACGTTGACAGGCCGCGCGCACGACTGTGTGGTGTCCCCCTCACAGCCAGGCCGAACGGGGGGTCCCTGCACCCGCCCCCGGTACCTTGAGGGCCTCGAGCGTGGCCTGGCGGCAGGCGCCGGGGACCGGACACGGTTGGCGGGGGCCGCCCTGTGCCCGGGGCCGCCGCGTCACGAAGCGGTCCATGGCCGCCTAGCAACAGCCCGGAAGTCGCCCCTTCCCCTTACCGCACGGCGCTGAAGTCCCGCCTTACTGGTTCCGCTGCGAGCCGAGGGAACTGCGCCTCCCAGCAGGCCCCGCACGGAGCGGGGGGGGGAGTTCTCGCGATACCCCGAGGGCAGGAAGCGGCGCTGTCAACATCCCCCTGCTCCCCGCAGCGCAGGGCCAAGATGGCGGCGCGGGCCGGGGGGCGGGTGTGGCGGTGGCTGCTGCTGCTGCTCGCGGGCTGCGGCGCGGGCTGGGCGGC